AATTTTAACCAGATGGTCCCATTGAGATCATCGATCTCTTTTTCAAGGGAGACCTGTCCAACATGGCAACAAGTAGGTTACCCAACATGGCAACAAGTAGGTTACAACATGAACATAAAACAACAGATAACACAAAAGGACATCGTATTTACAGGGCTACATGTACATACCTAGAGACATTGACAAGTACCAACAGTATATTTATATCTCGCCCTGTCAATAAGCCTCACCTTCTTGGCAAAAACTGTATTGTTTTTGAAGTGGCGGAGAGACAATGCTGTCACCCATGGCCAAAGCATATCTCTCTGTCCCAGCAACATAATTACCAAGCAAGAGAGTTTTTTCCACAGCAGGGGATATTGTAAACGCCCAAACATCCCAGCTTCTACCTGGAAATGTGGACATGCTCATATTCCTAAAAGATAACCTTGATGATGCTGAGTGAGTGAGTTAGAGTTGAGTTAGTTCTTGAAAAACTAAAGTGAAACTTGATTTATTCTATTGCAGGGTCTGATTATTATATTGTTGACACTTTAAAATACTACTATCCTACTAAAATACTGTACAAATCAGATTGATTATTTAATGAAGAAAAAAAATTCAATAAATTTTTTTTTTTTTAATTTTATTTTTCAATATCGCGATAAGTATCGTACCGTGGACGTTTTATAGCGATATTATCGTACCGTGAGTTTTTGGTATTGTTACATCCCTATGGATTACTATTCCTTATTTCGTGGATCATTTAGGATTCACAAAGTTGTACATACAGTGTTTCCCCTACCGTTGCCCACCCTGACAGAAAGTGTGTGTCTTAGGCAGTGTTGGGCAAGTTACTTTAAAAAAGTAACTAGTAATAGTTGTAGTTAATGATCTCAAAAAAGTAACTAGTTACTTTATTAGTTACTAAATTGTATAAAAGTAACTAGTAAACAGTTACTTTACTTTACTTAAAAATAATAACGAATAAAATGCAAGTTTCTGTGTCGTTTTTGCTGACTAGTTCTCTGAAGCAAACATACTCGACCTTGCGCATGGGCAGCATGTCCTCAACCAACAGACCTGGCAACCACTCTATTTAGTGACTCTGGTGACATGGGCGATTTAAAAAAAATCGTTTTTGCTGTTTAGGATGGTGTGCCTCCATCTGGGTCACTGCCGTGTGTTTTGAGGACGTGGTGCGTCTTTGGCATAGTTTTATAGCCGCATGACATTAGGTAGGTGCTTCAGGAGATGCATTCTGTTATTCAATGTGACAATGCTTTCTGTCCTGCACACGAGTTTACATTTATCGTAAATATTTTCGTTCCTTTATCCCACATCAATTGAAAATAGTGTTATATCTCCAAGTGTAAATGCGCTGCTGCTCCCTCGGGCTCGATACTTGCGATCTGCCATTGTGTGTTGTGTGTGTGTGCCCACACACAGTTACCATAGTACCTGATGGTATATTTACCTATGTACATTTAGCCATGGTATTTTTGACAGCATTGTACCATGGTACAAACCGTATGGTAGTGTACGCATGGTACATACTATATGTGTCTATGGAACAAATACCATGGGTACTATTAAACTATACCATCGTACTATCTGTCAAAAAAATACTGTCGTGTACCATGTGTATGCCCGTGGTAAATGAACCATGGTACTATTGTGTACGAGTACCATGGGTAACATTTCAATGGCTGTGAGGGCTTTATAACCCCCACTACCCCTGGACCATAAGAATTACGATGATAAACGTAATATGTCTCTGATTCTGTGTCACACCTGACCAAACTGTAATACTGTAGGAGAGGCTACAAGTGTGTTTTAGCTATATCAAATAAAAATAATTGATGCTGAGGGCAAATACCAAATTAGTTATTACATGGCTCAACATCTAGGGCGTTTACGAGGTGTATTTAACATTTGGTGTGAATTGATACTACCAACACTACAGAGGTAATGTTGTGCGCCGATGAAAAATAGATCGTCATATAATGGGGGGCCCGTGAAGCGGGGTGGCCGAGCGGACAGTGAAGGGGGTGGGATTGTTTATATATATATGTTT